GGATCCGGAGCTTGCACGTATAGAATAAATATCAGGTAGTTGGACCTAGCCAATATATTATCCAGTTATCCAAAATATACTAAATACAATATTCCTAATACGAGATCACCTTGTATGACCAGTATGAGCCTTGATCCGAGGTGTCCGTAGTACACTAAGTGTGGATCAAACAAAGAAACCAACCACTTGTGCCCAATGATGCAAATTCGATTCTCTGTTATTCCTTAGTTCTTGATCCTGATTTGTCTCATCCTCTACTATCTGGATCCACATATTTCCTTCCCACCATCTGTTGATCTTCGGATCTGGTTGTATACCGCCGAATGCTTACCTTGTTTACTTGATCGTGAACCGCCTTGGGTAATCATGTCTGGATCAGGCATAATTATACCCAGATCAGGCACCTATAAATAGGTCCTCCCAGATTGATCCGGTCACCTCAGAATCAGTTGAGCTGAGTCCATCAGACCTTCTCAGATCTGGATCCACCGTAGTCACTCCAGGCCCAGGCCTACCTGTCACTTCACTCGACTCGATCACTTCCTGTCTGCAATTTCTTGGAATCCACTTCACCACATACCCATGAATCGGAGACAGAGCCTTCTGAAGGTGGTACCAAGCGTAAGCGTTCATCGAAAGGATCGAAGAAAACTCGCGAGCAGATGTCACCCAACGTGCAGGCTGAAATTCAAGAATACCCTTCCGCATGGATTCGCGAGTCGAACGACCCATGTCGTCCAGATGGCAACCTTTTGCTCCGTGATGTCGGTGCAGCTCGTGAGATGTTGAAACTATTCCCAGTAATTTGGAGTAATTTGCGTTTGGATGTTCGCGCCTTAATCCTTTATGGCGTCAACTACGAAGGTGCTCTGGAGTGGCTCGGCGATGATCGCTCTGTTCACGGTTGCTTTCACTTTTGCAAAATGCTTCTCAGAATGATGTTCTGGAACGGACTTGATGACACACCTTGGACCAAATACGTTCCTCGCCGTTACTTCGTGGTTGCGCGTGCCAAATTGGATTCGCTCCTGGAAAGCGATGAACATCCTAACCTCTGGGGACCTCTCGTGCTCATCGTTGAAGATTTCATGGGTGATGAGACCCAAACTCCTACCCTACAGATCAGAACTGGACTAACGACCCCCACGACGCTGGAAACGATGACAATGACTATGACGATCCTATGGCGGAATCTTCATCCAAAAGTACTCTTGCTAAAACCAAACGACGTCGTATTGCTCCAACGGAGGTTAAAACTCCTGCCAAACGTCAGCACCAGCGGAAGACTTGTACCGCTTTGGCACTGAAAGAACATTTGACCGAGGGTGAGATGATGATCATTGAAGTTTCTCGGGATGATGAGATCCGTTCCTGGGTGCACTTTGTAGTGCGTATGAAGTGGAGTGACAAGTCCATCAACTCACCATTTGGACAGACGCCTGGCTTTCCAGCGTACACTCCTAATCGCCGTGACTTGGTGATTCTCTAAAGACGTTTCGCAGAGTATTTTGACGAGTATAGGGAAATTCTTCGAGAGGCTACGTGGCAAGACATGTGGAGGAATCGTCCTAAGCTATTGTATTTCCACAAGCGTTCCAAAATGAATCTGGCCGCGCAAGGCGCCCTCGACTCGTGGGTCGAGTATATGTGTGAGTCGATGCGCCATCGATGGGAAATGTTTTCATTGGGTCATCTTTCATTTGGAATTCCTCCCGAAATCAGCGGTGTTAGCCTATTCTCGCCGTGGCAAGCGTCATGAATCTCTCGTCAAGAAGGGTCGGTCTCTCAAGAAGCGTTGCGTTCAAAAGGGCGTCCCGAAAACTGTCTTCGAGTGGGAAGCTTGCGTCTGCGACATTCCCCACCCCGTTTGTCATTGGATTTCATGGGCAAGAATCAGCTCAACCCCGCCATCAAGAAACCGTACTCGCTACGCGAGCAACTACGATGCTTGGACAAGGCCGAGCCGGCTCGCCTCCAATGGACTAATTGCGCTACTGTCGAGGAGCAGATCGCTCACCTTCCGGAAGTTGTTCGCAATAAAATCCTTCCAAAGGCGGAATGGGAATCACTCTCCGAAGATATCTAAGTGACAACGCCTAGTGGAGTTTGCTGAGTGTAATTCTGTTGGATGCACTCTTCCGTATCCACGTCAGTCTTAAATTCTCCAACATATATCGACATTTTCCTTCACTTTCCTTCACTCTTTCCAACCTTGGTTACTAGGAGTCTTATATGCCCCAAAAGGCTGGATCACAGACAACTCTTACAACGGCTTTTGTTATCCCATATACATGCGGCACCTTACAGTCATCTTTCAAAACGTTAATTTTGGAGATGATCATCTCCGGCCTGCATACTTCGAAAGCAGGCTCGAGCGCGTGCACCTCGGTTAAACTCATAGAGCAAGGCTCCACAATTAAGTTGAGATGCAGGAAGCCATTCTGGATCGTCGTAATTCTTCCACTTGGCAAGGTACCCCCGACGCCATTTAGAGGTTCGGGTTTTCTTAGACCATCGAAGAACCAAAATCTTCTCAACCTCATACTCATCCTTTTGGGCATCGGCTTCCCAACTGTCCTCAGGGAGTAACGCAGCATCAAAATCATCTTCTTCCTCTACATTCACACTGACTGTCGGTCTTTTGGGAAACAACGCTCTTGGCTTCAGACGACCGATATGAACCCATGGATTGACCCGGTAACCGGTACTGTCAACTTTCAGTTTCACTATAAAATCATCCAACACTTCTTCACTTCGAAAAGACCCGTGCCATAAATGCGCCAACTTCTTACTTAGCCCAGTCTGCACCTTCGGGATGTATAACCATACGGCATCCCCTTTCTGAAATCCTGATTTCAGGCGTTCGGATAACGCTTTCCACTTTTGCGTTTGGAGGTCGGAGCGTTGTCGTCGGGCTTTGTTCTGCAAGTCCTTGGCACACGCTTTCGCGTAACCATAGTTCCTCTGAATTTTTCGTCTCCACTCGTAGGCAGTCCTTTCGGGTACACTTGATGGTGTTGGACCCACCATCGCTTTCAGAGTGCTTTGTGGATCCCAACCGTAGATCAAGTAGAATGGGGTATCTAAACGTGTCGCGTCGAACGAAGTGTTTAGAGCAAACATCAACCTTTCCGCATGGTCGTCCCAGTCACTTTGATCGGCCTCCTCAATGTAAGCACAAATACTCCTGACAACCGTTTGGACAGATCATTCCTGTTGTCCGTTTGCTTGAGGTCGATATCCTAAAGTGGCTCTCTGACCACTATTCAAGAGTTCCCACAAACGAGTAAACACCTCGCTCATAAAACGGGGATCTTGATCGTGCCGAATCATTGACCTCGATCCAAATTCCGGAATACACGTTCCTCGTAAGCTTCCGCGACATCCTGAGCGGTGGTTGAATCCATCGGTTTGCACACCATATATCCAGAAAACATATCTTGGAATAGTAGCCAAAACGTATTCCCTCGGTCGGACGTCGGCATGTGCGTCACGAAGTCCATCGAAACCACTTCAAACGGTCGTCGGGGTTCAGTATTCCCAGGCGATGGTCCAGCGTTTGGAGGTTTTCCTTTTCCACTCGCACAATCAACGCACTCCTTCACAAAATGTTCTACATTCGCGTACATGCCAGGCCAATAGAATTCTGAACATAACCTCTTATGGGTCCTGGTGATGCCTTGGTGACCATCATCGTGACCATAGTGTAAGACATCGTCTCTGAGTGCTTTTGGAACGACGAGTCGGGGTTCATCCTGAAAGTCACGCGGGCGACCACGGGTCGACCGAGCTAGTCGGTACAACACATCTCTAGTGTCAAGTACAAACAGGTCGGCAACTATGGCGACCTTCCTCAGTCTTCTGGGCGAAAACTTCTCGAAGTCCTCCTTCAGAAAGTCTTTAATCTCCGACAGGTACTCATCTGCCTCCTGATGCACTCGGATGCGTCGCCATCGTTCAGCTTGAAATTCCAAGGGGTCCATGGGTTGGTCCCTCGAAGTAGATTCGGCTTGGCTTCTGGAACACGTTACTGCTGCGAGCACGCGGGCTGATTTTGTCAGTGGAGCTGACTCTGCAGTAGGCTGTTCGACGTCTCTCGACATAATTTCCCCATAAGTTGGATCAACTCCGGATTTCCTGTCGGAGTCTTCCACCTTCATGAGTTTCTCTGCGATTTTGGACACGTGTTCCAAATGCGCAATCTCGGCCGTGTCCGTAACGTCCCATGACTCATCAAGAATCAAAGTCTTTGTAGTCAAATAATCAGCAGCCTGATTGTTTTCCCGCTTCAGATGGACCAGACGTAACGATCCGAACTTCTTTTTTAGTACCTCGACTTTGGCAAGATGTGTTTGGAGATGCGGTTGATTGCAGTTGATCAGTCCTTGGACCTGTTGGATAACAATCCGCGAATCCCCAACTGCTACCAGATCTTGCAGCCTCATTTCAATTGCCATCTCGAGTCCTGTGAGACGTCCATGGTACTCGGCATCGTTTACCGTGACATTCTCCAAAAGGAAACCCTTCGCTTTCAAAACCTTCCAACCGGGTAGTTGCCATAACACACAACCAGTGGAGAAGTTTTGCGGCACCGTCGAAACTCAGAACGACGCCTTGGAAATCACTTCCCAACATCTCAACGCTCACTACTGGGGGCCTTCGAACATGACCTTTCAGAGGGATCAATGTTTCAACGGCCTCATCCAAATGCTCTCGCGGTGTGATCCCTGCACCCATGATGGCTGCAAGTCCGTCTTCATCCTTTTGGACTTTTCGAATTTCGATATCCCAATGTGAGAGCTTGACTCCCCAAGGAACACACCTCCCGTCTGCCGACTTAGACTGTAACACCCATTTCAGAACAGAATATCTTGTGTAGATGATCAGTCATCAGTTGTCAGCCTTCCAGAGTAGTCCGAAAGACTTGTAACGCCCTCAGGATAGCAATCACCTCCTTCTCAACAATGTGATATTAGAGCTAATCATCATTCAGAACGCGTCCCGTGTACCGAACAGGTTGTATCTTTCCATCGTATTCTTGTCCTACGACTGCACAAGCAGCCCAACGGTTCGCGTGCCAAATTATCACAAATGGCGTTTGGATGTCCGGATGTCTTAACATTGGCGTCGCTACGGTTTTCCTTTTGAGCAGTTCAAAAGATTCATGAGCCGTGAAAGGTCTCATCCCTGACGTATCTGGCCTTCCGAAAGTTCATAAAGAACTACTGCCACTACCGGAAAGTCCTCGATGGACTTGTGGTTGTAGTTTAGACTTCAAGAAATGATAGCACACCTTTGTGGGATTTGGGGAACGGTATATCCGTAACACCCTTCGCAATATTTGGGGTCGCTCGGATACCTTCTGCACTAATTTCATGTGACGGATAGGGGATCGATTGTTTCCCAAACTCGCTTATTGGCAAACTCACCGATATATATCCAGATCCTCACAAAGTTGATCCCATTTTTTCGCACCATGAGCAATGTCATCAATGTAAGAACTGCGTCCTAGCACTGGGCCAATATGTGAAGGCATGAGAATGTTCCTTTGGAAAACAGTCATTGAATCTGCGAGTCCCTTCACTTCGTCTCTTGGACCGCCACTTTCAGATTCTTGATTATCTGTAGAATCCAAACCTAGAAAATCTAAGACATCTTGATCGACTTCTGCTTCTTCTTGCAGAGGCAGTCTCACAAATCCCCACAGATAATTGTTGATAACCGACTGGTATATCAGTGGCGCATTCTTGAGTCCGAATGGCATGCGAGTCCATTGGAAATGTCCAAATGGACAGATAAACGCCGATATCAGCTTTGCTCGTTCGGCCTTCTTGATCGCCCAAAATCCACTAGCCATATCCAAACTCATGAACCCCATGACATCCTCAAAACCAACCAACAGATCATCTATCAACGGTAGAGGGTAATTGGTCAACGTAATGAAGCCATTGACAGCTCGGTAGTCGACACACATTCGGATATCCACACCATTTTTTCTTGAGGACAATCACAATGGGAGATGCCCATGATAATTCTGAATGTTCGACGAGTCGGGTTTCCAAACGTTTCTTCAGCAATTTATACACTTTGATTGATAAGTGTGGTGCAACAGACCGGGGACGTTGAGCGACGGGGTTTGCTTCTCCGACATCCAAATCACAGGTCACACCTCGCGCCGGAGCTGGAACTGCATTCCCATCTCCCAGAAAGATGACTCGGTGATACTTCAGGACCGCTCGCAATTTTCGCTCGTCTTCTGGAGTGCTCGTTCCAGATTCACCAACGTCAGCCGAGTCGATATCACATTTCGGAGATAGTTCTTTGATATCCGGAAGCAAAGCGAGTTGTTCCCGGAGTTGTGATAACGTTTCGCTCCCTTCATGAATATAAACGGCGGGTTCAAGATTCAATTCTTCAGCTTTTAATTGCATGACACGTTCGTATTCTAGCTCAAGCTGTTGCACTGGAGTACACGCCATCACCGACACCGGCAGATCCGAAAAGACATCATCCTCGGGTTCCACTCTTGGAATGTCCTCCAAGTTAACTTCTAGAAAACCATCGTCGACACTAATTGAGTCGAAAAACTCATCTTCGTCCGAGTCTTGGTTATCCAGCACTTTTTGAGGTCCACCTGTTGGACCGTCAGTTGTTTCATCTTCAACTTCCGAAATCTCACTCATTTCAGGTAAGACTGTAGCTATTCTCGACCTCCTTATTGACGTTCCATTACTTACATCAGGTGCTTCGTCATATACTTCACCTGGGACTATCTAAAGGTTGATCACTCTCGCTTCCTCGCAACCAGGCGATGGACGAACCATCGTCTTAGTCGGCCACGGGTAGTTCGGCGTTTGGACATCCGGTGGTTCCATCTTCTGAAGGTCGTCTAGACGTTGTGACTCTCGAGCCTGAGCTTGGCAGATATGGTATTCTCATTAATGAGAGTCTGCCATTCACGATGTCTTCGAATACCAACGCGCACATAACGTCCAGCTCTTGGAACAAATCCGTTCTCGACAACTTGAGCAACTTCAGTCTGCCAGTCGACAGTGACAATGCGGTCGAAAATGTTGACTACCTTAATAGCAGCAGGAACCTTCCAAGCGTACAGCACCTGGGTGACCCACCGATCTCCTCTTCCAGCCCATATGGTCGACGGGTGCATTAATTTTCGGAACGCTGGCAGACGGATCATCCGGTACTCTCCTGGTTGAAGATACATAGCATACTTCGGACGAATTCCATGCGCCATACCATGCTTGACGTGGGATAGCCCTCTTCCCGAACGTAAAACTGTCTCTTCATCCGGAAGCTGGACTAGCCCCTCTTTAACACACAACCGTACTCCAGCCGAAAACATGAAGTTCATTCCGAGTAACACATCCAAACCTCCTCCAATGTTCGCGACCCAAATATCGATCACATAAACCACTCTTGGTCCCTAAGTGATCTTTACCTCGGCACTTGCAGTAATGCTGGTCGGTACACCTCCGAGTCCGGGCACTGAAATCTATTTGCCAAACTTGAGCTTGAGTTTTAGCCTACGCGCAAGGCTTAAACTCACCATGCTCACTGACGCTCCAGAATCCAAGAGTATATCCGTCGGAAGGTTATTTACCGCTCCATGTACCAATGCAGTTTTCCGATTCTCTTCTTGCTCATGATCGTGTCACCATCCATAGCGCTCACCTCGCTTCAGGCGAAATTCTGGACGCGTGGTGATATCCAAGCCGTCTGAAAGTTGGCTTTGGGAGTCGTCCGAAAACGAAACTTCCGCAAGGAGATCTTCATTGAATACATTCATGGATTGTTGATTACCTTGATCGTGCCTTCTCAAATCTGGTCCAACGTAAGCTAACACACATAATTCTGGGGATGTCTTGGGCCCGTCGTGTACTGGATCCCAATCCAGCGGGCTTAGTGGTTTAACGGCTTCGTCCCATAATCAGCGTGTCCATCCAAAAGTTGATTGAGGAAGTCATCAGGGATATCATTCAGGCTTCCTTGCTTGGGGAGATTCTTGAGTGCTTGTAGGGTTTTAAGTCCATGACACTCATCATCATGAAATTTGTAACAGAACGGACAAGGATCAACATTGCCATATTTATCGTGATGTCCCTTCTTGTGGCATCGATTGCATTCCATATCCACCCAGCAGAATTCCGTAGAGTGCGATCCCTCGCCACAGTTGTCGCAATGACGCATCTGTAGTGATTTCCCGAAGTCAGTCTTTGGCGGCGATCTGTACTCAGAGTTTGGAGGCCTCCATCCAGAATTCTCCAAAATCCGGTAGACTTCCGAGGTGACATCCTGTTTCTGAAAAATCATGTTTCCGTCAGGGATATCTCCAGACAAATCATCGACGTCCCTGTCGGAAACAGATTCTCCAACCGACACTTTCTGATGCGTGCCTTCGACGCCTTGATCAAACAAGACTTGTCTCTATTCATCACCCGCAAACACTTCGTCCTCATTCACGTTATACCCTCGATTGTTAAGCTTCTGTCGTTGTCGGTTTCCGAAAACGCTATCAGCCTTCCGGTCGTTACGCTTGAGAGGGTGTGCTTCTCGATCGTCGCTCCACCAGATTTCTTCATGCTGTTTCAGGATATGTTCCAAGTCCTTCAGACTGCGGACCCACTGCAATGTCTATCTCAGTTGAGTGTCCTTTAACTACTTGATAAACACTTTCCGATGTCGTTCACGTGCAACGTCTGTAGACTTGATGTCAATGTCCGCTTTACCAGCAATCTTGTTCAACCTGTAGTAGAATTCTCGGGGGGGTTCGCTCTCTTCCTTGGAAGGTCGTGTAGTAATATTCCGAATCTGGGGTCTTCGCTTTGCAATATTCCTCACGAAAAACCTTCACAAAGCGCTTCCAACTTCGGCGCACCGATTCCTCCAGATTCCCACGCCAATTACGAACGACCGAAGATTACTTTAGCTTGCAGTAGTAAACCTTTGCATGGTCTGACGATCTTCCCATGACCGCGAGACTTTGGAGCTTCTGCAACCAGCGCGTCCGGACAGCCAGTGGCTGCTTCTCGTCAAAATCTTACACCACTGTGATATTAACCATTGGGTTGAACATAATCGACCCTTGCCCGGTTGTACGAACTTGCGTCCCAGACGCGAGATCTTCAAACGAGCTGCTATCAGAGTCACTGTCTCCGGACTCCTTGTCGGAATCGATGTCGTCATCCGAAGGCTCGTCGTCCGGTGGACCATGCCTCGTTGGGGGTTGACTTGGCGGGGTCGACTTCTTCCTCGAATCATCCTTCGACAGTTCCTTCATTCCTTGGTCCGGCTTTCTTGTACTCCTCTTGCGGATCTTGCCCTCCGCGGATGCCTTTTGGACATCTGCCGTTCTTTCCGTCTTCGCCGCTGTCGACGTTGGCGCCTTAGTGGCGGCCGTGTACACGACATTCTCCTTGGTCTCACTTAAGTCTCTTTGGGCGGCCTGTGTCTGAGTGCCGTAGAGCGTTTTGACTTCTGACGATACCGTCTGTTTTCTCAGAACTGGCGGGCCACCCGTGTTTACGCCACTTGAGACTGGCTCCCCAGTTGTCGAATCAGAGTTTACATACACCTGAGTTGTAATTTTGGGGACCGTTTTCAACTCATTGTCACCCACTCCTTCACACTCAGTTTGTTTCTTCAGGCGCCCGACGAGGAACGATTGCAGATTATTATTTGCCTCACGCTCCTGGTCAAGTTCCAACAGCAGCGTCTGGAACTCCTTCTCGAAGGCGGTCATCTCGTCCGAGTGTTGTCGTCACTGTGCCTCCATGTGTGTTTCAG